GCCGGCCGCGGCTCCTTCCTTCCCCCGGCGGCTCCTCGGATGCTCGGCAGCACAAGGAGGGCGGGATGGGATGAGGAACACCCCCGGCCCGCCCGGAGCCCGGCGATGAAAACAAGCGGCTGTGCAGCTGACCAAAATGCAGCAGCGGGAGGCGAATAACCCGCGAGGAAAAGCAGCGGGAGCCGAAGGCAGGCTGCAGAATTCCCCGGCTCCGGAATCAAACCCCTTCCCGCATTTGCCTCTCAGCCGGCAGAGCCCCCGAGTTGGATAAATTGTGTGCGTGTGTTGTTCCTGCTGGGAATCTTCTCGGCACCCCGGCTCGCAGAGATTCCCGCGGGAGCGAGAAGAAGGGAAGGAGGGATGCGCGGAGCCGGGATCCTGCGGATTCTGTGAGGCCACAGGTTCCGCTGGGACCATGGGAGGGAAGCAGGTCAAATGGTGAGCGATTGTCCTCGGGAGCAGCAGGGATGGGCTGTTGGTCACAATCCTTGCCCTGAATTTCTGCCCTGAGCTCGTTGCCCTGGGCTGTGCTGGCAGATCCGGGCTCGGGGGAGATGGGATGTGGGTTAAGGAACCAAGCGGTGAAAGGAATAAAAGTGGAGCAGTTTGCATCATAAATCTCTCTTGGAAAGCTTTCATTTCCCAGCCCTCGTTTCTGCATGCTTTAATAGGGAATTGTTCTGCACTTTTACAGGCGTTGCATCAGCGGGTGTTTCATGCCCTGAATGCCTGGGCTGATACAGAACCTGGGCGAGTGTTTCCAGCATTAATGGGGTGATGCAGAAAGCAGCCTGACCTGTGCTGCTGCTCCAGCTGCCTCTGCCACTGTTTGCAGTGCCTGGGAGGTGGTTGTGGATGCTGGCTGAACCCAGTGGCTGTTCGAAATAGGAAAACTGCCTGGAAAGGGTCTGGGGATGTGGAAATCCCTCAGGAAATTAAAGCTCTCTGTGCTGTGGGGACCTCTCCCCACCTGTGCTGCCTTTTATTGGCTTTGGGCTGCGGGTCCAGTGCTGGGAGAAGCGGATTTGGGATGTTATTTCCAGGCTCATATCCTTGTTTTTCATCCTGCTCATCCTTCTCGCTTCCCCTGTCTCACCACCTTCTCTCCCATCTGTGCCTGGTGGTGTTTTTCTGGGCCAGCTTTTGCAGGGCTGAGAGGCAGCAGTGCCTGGGGGTGAGGGCAGGTTCAGAGCATCAGCTGAGGATGGGAGGGAGGGAATTCTGAGAGCTGTTCCTAGAAGGAAGCAAAATCCCTCCTGGAGCTGCTGGCCATGTCAGACCAGCTGGGCTTCCTGCTGCCATCTGTGTTGTGTGAAAGTTTCATCCTTTCTTCTGGCCCTTCTCACAGAATGCAATCCCAGCAGAACTGCCAAATCAAGTAATAAAGAGCATTTAGAAAAACCAAAAAAAAACCCCATAATTTTATGCCATGCCCCCATTCAGCAATGAGCAGGAGCAGGGGCTGGTTACAAATCTGATATTAAAAATATCTAATTTGATATTAAAAATGTCTAATGAGGGATTGCTGTGATGGATTTGGAATTCCTGGAGGTAAATCCTGGAGGAAAGCCAGGTGGCTGGGAGCTCTTGAAGCATCATGGGCACACCTGAAAGGACAGGTACCGTCCCCCGTGGGACATTTCTGTTGCACAAAGATCATTCTTTCAGTGTCACACGGGGGAAGTCTGGACCACAAAAAACAGGACTCAGGTCTGTGATTTGAATGAGGAGAGGCTGGTCCTGGCCGTGGGAGTGGGGCAGGCAGGAGCAGCAAGTCATTTCCATCTCTATTGCAGGGCTTTTCCCATTCTGTGGGAGCTGTGGGAGACGCAGCAGCAGTGCTGGGAAGATGCAAGGAGGGAGCTGCTGAAGCCTCTTCTTTTTCTAAACCTATTATATTATTTCCACACTGTTTTTCTTTTTGTTCCTTGCCCTTTGTTTCTGTGTTGGGGGAGAATGAAAAATTAACTCCTGCTCACACTTGCAAGGATTAATTCCTGCGACTTTCGGGGTACATTGAATGGGTCACTGAGCTTCAGCCACCTTTTGATGTTGTCTGGGAGATGCACTCAGGAAGAATTTCTGAGAAAAAAATTGCTTGACCCTCCCAGTCAGCTGAGATGGCTCCTGTGAAAATATGTGGGCACTTCCAAGAAGTTTTAATCAAAGAACATGAGTGAGTGGAATCTGACTCTCAAATATATTGGGATTTAAAGTTGAAATGATTCATCTGAAAGCTCTGGAGCAAGAGATGAAGCCAGGGTGGATTTTTGTCCAGCATAAGGCTGGCAGTAAATTACTCCTGAGTTTGGTCCTACCCCTGTGTGAGAGCCTGAATTCAAAAAAATTACATGTTCAGGCTGGGTAGTGGAAGGTTTTTTCTGGGATGCAGATAATTCTTAGATAAAAGTGAATATAGAGAAATGTTTGTTCAAAATTGGTGCTGATTAACATCATTTTCATCTAAAAGAGCTGTTCCTGCCTTGCTCTGCAGCCTGACTTCCCCCAGCCCTGTCCACAGTGCAAAGAGTGAATCCACTGTAGCCCCCTCAGAGGAGAAGGAGAGACTTGTGATCCCCCAGACTGAAGAAACAGAGCCTAAAGCAGGTAAACCTCGGCACTGTTCTGTGTGATAGGAGCTGGAAAGATCCCCGGGGACTGGAGTGGTTTGCTGCTTCCCCCGGGGTGTCCTTGGGGCACTGAGGGATGCTCTGCAAAGCCCACGGGTGCTTTTCCCCCTCTGTCACACCCCCTGTCCCCACCGCTGTGCTTGGAGATCTCCCTGAGCCCGTGGGAAGTTACCTGGGATAAAATCTGTGTGGGAAAGCTTTGGATTGCCTCGGGAACGAGGTATAAATCCCTGGGGTCAGATGAGCTGCCACACCTTGGTGCTGGGAAAGGGAGCAGGGCCCTGCTGGGCTGCCAGGAGCACGTGCAGCCGGCGTTATTGGACACCAAATACAGAATATTGGTGAGTTTCAAAGAGAAAAACACACAGTTTTATTTAAATATCTGCTATTTATATAATTCTAA